CCGACCGCCCCGTCCCCAACGACCGCTCCGATAAGCGATAACGTGTTTAATTTCGGGCGGCGGCCGGCAGATGCGAAGTGCGAGCGATGGCCGGCAGATCGCACCCGATAGCCGGGGGCGTGGTCCGCGCGTGTTGGCCGGTGCGCGCGCCCGTTGGCAGTTATTTTCGATGACGCCCGACCGACCGGCGCCTCGTGCGTTTGCAGTAACTCATCGCCGTGATACAAAAGGCGAGTGTGTTGGGGACGGGTTGTAGTTAATAGGCAGCTTTGAAGTTACTGAAGATATCAAACAGATGAGATAGAATGATATTAGATGTATTTGAATTCGTGCTCGGTACTCGGTACGCGTTAAATGCGATGTATCAGATCACATTGTGCCGTCATTTACAAGAAATGAAATGGTGATTGACAACACTAGAACTAATATTTATATGAAACTAGTTTAGCCACATATTTTATTTCAGACTAGTTTATAAAAAAAAAAAGTGCTGAATCACATTATAATAAACTTTTTTTTCATTTCATACTTTTCTGATACAGCGTAGATAGCCACTTTACAGAATTGTTTGGTTGTGATTTATATATGTACATAATACACAGTAAAACATGAGTGACCCTCCTTGGGAAATGGAGAATCAAGGGGAGGTGTTTAGGAGCGATTGCTGGTGGTTTGTGAAATAAGTGCGACAACGGGGCTTATGATGTGAGGATAGAACTGAAGTTACGGAGGGCGGAATTCATCTTCGGAGAATGTGGAGGGGATAGGGTTTAGATGAGGATGAGTGGTTTTTCCTAATGAGAATGTCAGTTGGAAAGGAAGGTTATGAAGCTTGTTGGAAACTTTCATAGAGGCGGGCGATGTGCTGGGCTACTGTAGGGAATTTTAGCTCAATGAGAATTTGAACATTTGAAATCTACCATGGGCATTTAAAGGCTGTGCAGAGGACTTTATTTTGTAGGGTTTGGCTGTGTTTTATTGTTGAGGGGCACCTCTCCATATCGGGGCTGAATACGTGATTGCAGGGAGGGCTAAGGATTTATACAGGTGTAGGGTGGTTCTTAGGTTGAAGGTATTATACTTAAGTATTATTTTTCTTAAACCAAAGTTTGTTGCGCGGCGTTTCGGTTTCTGTGGTTAACTTTGGTTAACGAACAATAAAACTTTAAAGTTTATGATAATGTGATTGAATGTTTATATTTTTTTAATGTATAAACTAGTATGTCAAATTACCTTTGGCCAAACTCGTCTATTGTAAATGAATTGTGGTAAGACAGTTTCTTTGTTACATCTAGAACGATTTACAGTATAATGTTTGCCCCTCTTGTAAAATCAAAGACTTACCTTCCTTATAAAATACTTCGAGGATTTATAAATAGCCAAGAAACCTATGATGAATCGTCATGTTTTTGCTTATTAGTTTCAGTGCCTGTAAATAGGAAAATTAATTTAGTAAAATGTTTCACATTTAATGTGGTTCTTATCTAACAGCTGAGAAACCTCGAAAGAAAATCCCATTCATCTTCTTCGGTGTACGGTATATAATAAGTAGTTTGCACTGCCAGTTTCTAATTATAATTTACACAAGCTTCGAAAGTATAGTAATCGTAGATCACAATTACTATAATAAGCGGCCGAGAAGAACAACTCGCTTTCTTTTTTCCATCCTTATCTCAAACCTGGTTCTTTCACAGAATGAGTTGTTGCTCCCCTCTTTCTCTCTTCCGATGCAAACGCAAATGAGCAGGCACTTGAAACGTAATCTCGCGAATCATTTTCCCGAGCTTTTCCTGGCCGAGGCTGCGCGGTCGACGGACCGGACACATGCTGCGTGCGTGTCCCAAGCACCACGGATGGTCTCTCTTCGCAGCTGAAGACCTCCCACACGCGATGGTCCTCTCCCATAAGCCGACCCCCCCTCCTCCGCGATTTACCCACTTGCCCCGCAGTCAATAGATGCGACGCGCGGGTCTTTAGGGTATTACCGGGCCCAGGAAGATCGCTCCCAAGGGAGCACTTGCGGAGGGATCGGTGCAGGGAGCGCACGAAGCGGTGGACGGGGCAATAACCATGACGGTAGGCTCTTCATAGGCGAACAGAGTAGTTAGATCCCCAAGAACTATTAGAAATGCCTTATTAATAATGTTCTAATGACAGTAAATTCGGGTTTGCAACGATTTGGAAATGTGTGAGAGATCTGGGCTGTCCGGGTGACGCCGCGTCGAAGGCTGTTGTGTTGCCGACGTTTCGACCATCTTGTCGTGGTCTTCCTCAGGGCTGGTATGCTCGCAACACAGCCTTCGACGGGGCGTCACCCGGACAGCCCAGATCACGCACAGGACTCTCGCCGCGGAAGCCTAAGACTTCAGTTTGGAAATGTGCTTCACCGTGGAACTGATAGTAAGCATTTCGTAGGTAGACATATTCATATTCTTCAACGAGGAGAATGTGAGTAGTTTTATTGCTCAGAAACTTTGAAAATTCCTGAGTGATCATTTTTCAATATTTTTAAAGTCGTTACGCGTCAGGTCGTAGATATGGTACACAACGAAATTTTTATTTCTAATGTAATCATTGGCTGTTTTCTTGAAAGTTTTGGAACTTCGTTTCACAGCGAAATGTGTTGGCGTGCTAAAAATTCCTCTTCTGCTGCAGGTGCTGTCGTGGCTGTGCAAGAAGGGAGAGGAGACATTGCGTAGGCATACCAACCTGGCAACCAACCTTTCGGCGATTAAGGAGCAGGAGCAGGACTTCGAAAAGTTCTACTTCATCTCAATGGTGAGTGTTTGGTTACATTTTTCTCATCTTACAAACTTCTAATTATTGTTTGTCTGTTGAAAACCTCGTTAGGATGAGTAAGGAAACGTATAAATTGAACTGAAATTTAAGAACTGAACTTAAGGACATATGAACACGTTGCTCAACATGTGAACAGAAGTGTGACAAAGTCAGACGTCTCCGATAGGGCGCTATTGACTTAATGATTTGTCTACATTATTCCGTGATACAAGAACTGATTGAAGTATATCATGCTTTATCCCAAAGATCCATTTCATTATCAAAAAAACGCGAATTGTTGTATATTTCTATTTTCATTATTGTGAAGCGATTTCTATTGTCACTCAATCTCACGGGTCTTTGGTAATGAATGTCATAAAGTGGTTTCTTAATATTAATAATGTATCGATCTGTTTTTAAAAAGTCTACACAATAAGAATTTAATGTATTAAAAATTACTTTATTATAGATTGACTTGAATTTTAGTTCAATGTATTAATGTTCCGTTAAATAATCTATGGGTCACATTTCCGTGGGAAATTTGTAAACTCACCATCAGTTCGCACACGTGTCCTTAAGTGGCGGCGAATACTCAAAGAACCGCTAAAGAAAATGCGGAGAAAACAATGGATTTTCCGCTAGGCGAGCGTGACGCATATAAATTACCGTCCGGCGCAAACTGATTGCGTTGCCTCCGATAAACACACAGCGTCGAACAACCGCTCAATTACCCAATTGTCCTCTCTCTCTCTCTCCGCGCGCCTGGTGGCCACGAACCGAACGATGGGCGCTGCCTACGTCTCCCGCGGCTCTTCCGGGACGTCAGAGAGAACTGTTTTCTCGAAATTACCTGTCTTTTTACAAAGCGGGTCAAAGTTCTCTTAAAATAAACTTGTTAAAATACTAATAGAAACAGGACACTCGATTCGTGAGAATTAAATATATTGGTTCGTCCCCTCTAAGGACTCCACCAGGCCCTACACTTTCATTTGTTATCAAATAAGTTATAACTGAGTAGAAAGGCTGGATTATACAATCTGTCAAATATGAATGAAAATGTAATAATGGTAAAATAATAATAATAATAATGAATAAACAATTTACAGTTCCTTTCTGGACAAAGTCTTCTAATTTTAGGGTAAGATTAGTTCGCCTACTTCATCAGTGAGCTCCTTGTGATGTTCATAGTTTACAAGTTATAACCTAATCTAAGAGTGAATAGGCAATTTTAAATATAAAAAATTGTGAAATACAATTGTTAATTTTTTTTAAATGGCGAAAATAGTTGAGAAGCTAAAAAAATAGCTATCCACACAATGCATTTTTACTTGGTACCAGTTTTCTATTAAAAAAATGTGAATGTGTTCGTTGCATTTCGAGTTTTTTGCCATTTGGCCCTCTTAGGTCCATGTGGACCCGCTTGTACCCACCGAGGTGCAGTCATATTCTCCCAGGAGCAAGTCCACGAGACCATTTTTTTGCGGGAGGGGGGGGATATCAGCACTTTTATGCTGAATCCATTTTTACACTCCATGGTTATTATCTTTGGAGGGTATTATTTATTTATTTATTTATTTATTTATTTATTTATATCCCTCAATGCCACAGTTCCTGGGTCAATACGAGTGCGTAATCCTTTCAATAGTTAATAGATACAGACACCACAAATTCCACTAGTGTCGAACAGTCGGTTCTTAACAAGGAAGTGACAGTAACACAGATTATATAGCTCTCGATTTGGAGGAATCTTCCGCCAAACGCAGAGCGATACGACAGACGCACTTCCGCCTGGACGGGCCTCGTAATGGCCCGGAGAAACTCCTCGAGGGGAGGCAAGGCGGGGTGGTCGCCGCGGCACACACTCCTCGGCCGCCTCCCCCCCTCCCCCTATCGCTCGTGCGCACGCGGCGAGCGCAGACACGCATCGGGGCATCTGCCCGCGCGGCGCGGCACGGCGCGTGACGGCCCGTTTGACCCCGCGCGGTCGCTCAGCGTGGGTCGCGGCCCCCGTGACCGCCCCGCCCACTCGCGACCTATCTCCTCCCACTGATCACTCGTGGGAGGAGGAGATGCGGGATTTCGGGGTGTGGTAGCCGGTTCAGTTGAATAGAAACGTCGGCTTAGGAGGCTCAGGGTGTTAATGTGTCACTGCAGGCCCTCTGACCCGGAGGTCCTAGGCTTTGAGTCCCGACGGTGGCAGATTTTCGACGCTTGCTACATCGCAAGTGATTGACGACATTTACTGTGAGCTCCGAGTGAACAATCGTTCAGTAAAGAGTGCATACATTTGAAGTTTCCTATGATTTGCAGGAGAACAGTGTAACAAATGCTATAAGAATTACCTATTTAGTTTTTCTTGTTTGTTTTCTTTTTTTCGTTGCGTTTAGTAAAACTCACAAAAGTTCACTGTGGTTTGACTAGATTTCTGTATTTTTCCCTACATTGAAGTAAGTTTAGTAATTGTGTGACGTGTAGTCCGCAATTTCTGGCAGAGCGGTGTGTAATCTAGTATACGTTGTCTAATGGAATGGCCGATGAATATTTGTATAATTACATTTTGCTTAGCTGTAACACGACCAAAATATCCGACTGGGAGTCATTTACTGACAGTACATCGTACTTGTATTCAATAACTGTCGTCACGTTCTACCATCATCAAGCAGCATTATTCCTTCGAAAATTGTTGAGACAAGGCAGCGATAAGAAGTAATTTGCTTGAACCTAATTCTATACCTTTAAGTAGCTATCAAATAATGATAATGTGCAAGATGAAATCACCTACTTCCTCTGTTGGCCGTAACAACACCGCGTGAGCGAGCATTTGCAAAATATATCATTGATAATGGCTAATTATGAAATAAACTGTTCTTCGTGCTGAGAGACGTGTCAAGTCTTCCTCATTCTTATTAGCGTTCAAGCATCACAACTTGCTGACAACGATTGGGTGGTTCCTACATTAACAAGTCGACACAAAAAATGCAGTCTGCGCTAATGGTCTGGTTTCAGAATAGGCATTCTTCGAAATTTCTATCCTTGTTGAAGATATACAGTTCGGTTGTTTGGATCTCTGACAGATCGCGAACTGGGATAAGGGAAGACTCGTTAAAATCAACTGCGGAATCTGTTCGCATCTCGTCAGGAGAGACCGGCTCGTTATTTTGCGTCTCCTATGGAAAAACAGTCACATATTTGTGGTTTGCAATTTTCTAAGCCCAGAAGCAATCAAAATGTGTAAAAACAGAGCCAAATGTGTGGTTAAAGTTCTTGAATATTTGTAGAATATTCAGTGTTCGAGATAACCAATTTGATAATTTATTTTTACATTATATTGACTGTTCAGGATATTATTACAAAAATAGAAGCATTTTTGGCACATAAAGTCGTGTTAATTATTTTGTAGTGAAAGAGACTTAGATGGTTTTGCGCACTGAAACAAAATATTCCCCTCTTATATTATGGCTTTGGACTAGAAAAAATTCAGGTGAATGCTGTGATAAAAGAAACGTGTTTATAACACGTAATTAATAAATTAATTACGTGATACTACCCGAACTCAGCTTCGTATGTAAACACTGTCTTTGGTCGTATCTTGAACGGTCTTTCCAGCTCCAAACTGCCCGTTAATTAACACATGTACATTCAAATTATTTTTTTGAGAAAGTGATGAACAAGCAGGGGCATGTTACGTTACCCGTTTCGATGTTCGTATATGAACGTCGTCCGAATGGCGTTGGCACACGGTTGCCTTTTCGCACTCTTCTTCCGCGCGTGCAAGCGATCCTTCGATTTGCTGCGTTTACGACCTCCCGCTGCGCGAAAGTTGTGCGTGTTTATATACTATGAAGATGGCAAAGTGGACTGCGAGAAAAAGACGCAGTTTCGGGACCTTAATTAAGCGACCGGTCGGACATTATGGAGGAAAAACAGAGAAACCAACGGAAGACGACGAGAGAGAGAGAGAGAGAGAGAGAGAGACTGGCCATTCAAGGCATCGTGTTCTTAATCTCGCGAACGCCACTGAATTATTCTGGTGGCTGCAGTTTCTAGTTTTGAGTTCAACGTACCTCTGCAGCTTTCGCTCGAGAATTAATGTAATGATTCATATTGCTCGACTAAAAACACAGATTGTTTTGCGATGGACATGGTTAGTTATCTAATATTTACCTAGTTACCTTAAAATGTTTAGACTGCATGTAATCAATATTGCGATTTTTTTATCTTCGTCTATTAAAGATGTTATTTTTTAAAGACTTGGTATTCTTATTTTCACATTTGTATATTATAGTGTAGTTTCAAACGATATATTGGGTACTTGAGAAACAAATGAATTATTTTCGGTCAGTGCAGTAAATTAAATCAGAAGAGTGTACACTACAATGAAAGCCAAATCGAGGAATTTGGAGGGGGTCACGCTGTGAAGTAGGAAGGCAAAGAGATAACGAAACGAACATTAGAGCAAAAAATGACGACTACAATAACCTTAGTCACTCCGCCTCTCCAACACACTTCCGCGCTACAGCTCGCAACTTTTCACTTCATACACTTGCCATCAGCTACTCGTATCCTACAGATGTTCTTCTGCTGTATGCATCTTTCACAATTATTGCAATTCTCTGCCAATTCACTTACTCATGTATGCCAGAGGGCGTATTCAGGCATTTCAGTGGTTCTGTTTCAAACAGTCTTCCTTGCTCCAAACTGTCAACATAGAGCTCATCACGAATACGAAGACATTATTCTCCCATCCTACAATCCCCAACAAGAGCAACGCTTTTGCTAACCTTTCATCTTCTACGTACTGCCGTCTTGACTGTCTCGATCATTCTCAGTCATCGTCTGCCGCTTCCTTACACTTACAGCAGCTGCTTTACCGACGCCATTACCAGCAATCTCGCCTTCAAAACCGTCATTTCCCGGACGCCCACGGTCCGCCGTCGCTATCTGAACCTCCACCTTCACCGCGTCGCCGCCTCCGCCGCGGCACGTGGTCGGGAAAGTGGCGAGAGGCGCCGCGGCAGGGCGGAGGAGGGGGGGAGGTATTATCTTTTATTTATTAATCCAGAGCGACGGGCTCTGCGCGGCGTTGGCATCGGGGACGGCGGTGGCGGAGAAGGACGCTATTCGCGCAGCAGCCGCAGAGTGAAATGCCACCGCCACCGCCGCTGCCGTCGTGGAAGAAAAAAAACGCAGCGAACGGAAAGGGGGGATGACAGCTGCGCGGTGTGGGGTTCCACAAGGTCCCTCGTCTGTCCCAGCTTCCCCCGCTATCACGGAGCAGTGCTGGAAAGCATACGGACGTAGACAGCAATAGTGACCGTAAAAGCGTTAAAAAAAAAATTATAATCGATATCAGTGCCTCCCCCTCTTCTTCTTCTTAATGGATTTCTGTGGTTTCCTTTTGTTCAGCGTTTGTTTTCAGCAGGTTTTCTCCAGTGCATTGCGCTCGCAGGGAGTGTTGAGGCATCTAATTTACAGTAAATGAATATTCCTAATTTATTGTTCATATGCAACCATTAATATAGGTTTTGTTTCATCACCGTAGTGGATCTTAATGTAGCAGAATCTCCTAAGTGTTTTGAGTCACTGAATCCATTTTTAATTTTTTACTAAATACTTGCAATTACTAATTAAAATGATGTTTTGCCAACATTTTCGTTTAAGGAAAAAAAACATTCATAGCTACAAAATGAAGTTTGTGAAGTGACCTGAAGCGCAATGTAATGCTCTGTATATTTCCAGTTTAATGGTTTGTATTTTGCATTTTGCTTTCCAGGAATCGCATGGGAAATGTCATTTTAATTAGTGTTTAACGAGAATCCTCGTAACGAATTTTCCACCTCTTGTATTAATAGAATTATTTTCGATCGCGTTACTCGCGCATTACTGTCAGCCGCCGCCGCCGACGATGACGATGCCTTCAGCGCCGCGCTTTTTTCTCGACGTGTAAACTCGCGCGCGAGCGCTTTTTCCGATGTTGGGCAGCGTGTGGAGATGGGACTGCAGCCTCCCTCTTGACAGAATAGAGCGAGCTTTGTTCTCGCCGCATGTGCGCTGGGAAGTTTTTTTGGACCCGCGAATTTATGTACTCTCCATATAAAATTAGCTCATCTATTATTTTGGATACGTATTATTGAATTTAATATAAAGACAGAATTCCTACCGGAGCACGATATTTTTACTTCGGATGCTACTTGCTGCAGCATAATGAACTCAGTACGTATGCAGGAGTGCCTTGAATATGAGTCGTATCCAGATTATTTAATACCAGAGGAACATGGTTTGTATATAAAAAGTTTTTATTAGAAACTGTAAAATTTATTCCGTGTTACAAAATAATGAGCGATTAAAGAGCTGGTATTTTAAGAGATTTATTTATATACAAAAAAATTAAAGAAGCTGCAAATAAAGGGAATACGTGGCAATTCCATAAGAAAGTACGAAGTTGCGTGAAAAGGAAAAGTGTTTCGTAAAACCACTTTTTGTAGTGAAAGCTTAAAGTAGCGCGATCGTTCGAGCAAAAAATCTCCGAAGCGCGTGGGCGAAGTCGTTGAAGCTCGACAGAGGGCAGGGCGGGTGCTATCGGGCGGATGTCCTGCGATCAGCTCCAGGTACAGCTCCAGTTCCTTCCGCGGCGCTGCCGGATTTCCCAATTTCCAAAGCGGCTCAACATGAACCTTTCCAATCTCTGGGTTGGCAGCGTCATCGGAACCTGATGACATGCTACACTAATAGCTCGACCTGGATTTTGTGATGGCGCAAACTTCTTTTTTAGCTAGCTGACGGTATGGTTAAATAAAGGAGTGTATAGGATGAAAAGATCAATAGGTTATAAATGTTTAATTTCGCCATAACATTTGTCAGTCGTTACAGTTGATTCATTTCTGTGGATTTCCATGCCTATAGTGTTTTGTACTAATAATTTAACTTTTTTTTTCTGAATTCACATATTTTGTTCTGAAGACTTCGGGGGCATTTACATGGGAATTTAAGAAAACGATCGGAAGCTAAAGTATATTAATTCTGCAATTTGTTGAAAAAGTTGACATTTAAGTGTACCTTATAATATACGAACGTTGCACAAAAGGACTTCTGTGACGAGGTGGTTAAGAGACGTAGATGCGAACTCTGTACAAAGTTTATTTATTCTTTATTTGCAAAAATCTACTTAAATTTCTAGTACATTCTCCACACCGCCAGCCGCGGCCAAACTCCTATGTTCGATACCAGTATTATTTGAGGGCACGCTTCTATAGCGGCACTCATGTGACTGGTTGCCACCCTTGCAAGCCGTAAAGCACAATTTGCACCAACGTGGCGGAAGATACGTGACTCGACTGTCAACCAGGAGCCGCAAGACTCGCCGCCTGGAGCATTGTACTAAAAATATCCAACTACATCCTTTTCTCTAGAAGGGTAAACCTTACCAAAAAAATGGGCAAAGTCCTAATATTTCCCACAGGAGTCGTAAACGAATTGCGTGGTTAGGAGGCATGCAGCAGAACGAGCTGGAAGGGTTTGAAAAGAGATTCGTAGGTATCACGCTAGGCCGACATTCGCAAAGAGTTTTCTTATCGGTTGAGTTCTTGGGCGTGCGGGTTTCCTCAAAAGATGAACAACTGTTAAAACAGATAGCCTTCCTCGTATCGAAACAACCATTTACAAATGCTTCCGGAAAATAAAATAGTGATGGTTTAGAAGCTTCAAATGCCATTTTTTATTAACATCAACAATACATATCTGTATTATACGGCAAAGTGTTAAGATACATGCCCTTTCCAATCGAACTTTCATCTAAATGATGGTCTATTCTGATCATATTCGATGAAACAGAGTGACCGTCAAAAATAAAACGCGGAAGCGCCGTTTGGCCGCGGGCCGTGTACCATGCTTGGGAGAAGCGATGCCGCCACCCGCGCGGCGCTCGTGCGTGGGGATGGCGCCTTCGTTTGCCTCGCTCATAAAACGCGGGCATCACAGACGCCGACCGACCGACCGACCGACCGACCGCTCGCGCGCGCGCGTGCCGTTAAAGTTCACGCTGATTTATGGCGCGGCGGCGGCGGCGAGGAAGGCCCCGGCACGGTTTACGTGTCCCGCGCCGCCGCCGCCGCCGCCGCCGCCGCCACAGCAGCCATCCTGACGCTTCGATACGTATGAATGGCGCGACGTGACATAGTCGTGCGCTCAGAAACGGCTTCATCGCAGCCAGGGAAACAGGCCGCAATCGGGTAATGCACAGAGACTAGCGTGTCGCTCCAAGCGCCTGCGCCTGTCGCTCGGCCTGCGCCTGTCGCTCGCGCTGCGCCCTGGTCGCTACGCCTGCGCTCTGCGCTCGCCGCTGCGCCTGTCGCTCGCCTGCGCCTGTTCGCTCGCCTGCGCCGTCGCTCGCGTCGCTCTGCTGCCTTGTCTCGCCATTCGCCGCTGCGCCTGCTCGCTCCCGCTGTCGCCCTGCGCCTGTCGCTCGCTCGCTGCGCCTCTGTCGCTCGCCTGCCTGCCTTGGGCTGCGCTGTTCGCTCGTCCTGCGCCTGTCGCTCGCCTGCGCCTGTCGCTCGCCTGCGCCTGTCGCTCGCCTGCGGCTGTCGCTGTGCGCCTTCGCTCCCTGCGCCTGTCGCTCGCGCCTGTCGCCCCTGCGGCTGTCCGCTCGCCTGCGCCTGTCGCTCGCCTGCGCCTGTCGCTCGCCTGCGCCTGTCGCTCGCCCGCGCCTGTCGCTCGCCCATTCCTGCTGCCACTCCGAACACGGTACATAGCAGCCCAGCGGCTGCAGTCCTTTTCTCCACTCGTCTGTCTTCACTCCGTTCATAAGTGTCTAAAATCTGATCTGTAGTCGCATCACCTCTTGTTTTAATAACTTCAACTGCTCCCTTTTCTTGTTATTGCCTTTTTTCCTTTACGTTTTCCTTCAATCTCTGCGGACAATTTCTTACTTTCCTTACATGCCGAAATTGATCCAACCTGCCGCGCTTAGTAAGTCTTTTGATACTCTTGGTTGGTTTTTGTCACTTACCTAACAATTGAATTCCTCTGTCATCCCGAACGATCTGCCAACTTCGATTCCTTTAAAAGCTATGAAACCCTCTGAACCCCGTCCATTCCCATCACCTCCACCCCGCCACCGCCCATCTCTTCTTCCTTTTCCTTCTCCACAGCCTCCCCCGCAGCCGCCGCGTCCCCTCCGCTTCCCCGGCGCTGACCCGGATCGCGCGTCGCTGGCCTTGTTCCGGCGCGGAAAATGGTGGGAAACGACGGGGCGCCGCCGGGTTTCGCGCTCTCCGGAGACGCCCGGAAACGAAATGCTAATAATGCGCGCAAGATTGCGCGCTATTCCTAGAAGAGCCGCGGGAGCGGATTTCTAGCCTAGTTCGGCGCCCCTTATTCCGGTGTATTAAGAGAACGCTTCCGGGTACGTCGAAAATAGCTTGCGTTCGGAAAGTACTCGGTACTTCATTTAAAATCTGTTTGTATATTAATTTCGTTGCGGAAATGAAAGTTTTGGAAAAATATATAATAAAAATATTTGTATCAATTTCTGTGCATTGTCATGAAATATCCCGAATAAAAGAAACTTCAGAAATATAAAAGTTGCTAGTTGGCTAATCTGCGACTGCGCGTGCGTGCGTGCAGAGGCTCACACCAGAACTTTTCTGCCACAATAAAATGCTAAACTTCTCACATTACGTCCCTCTTCTAGAGATAAGACTTTCTATTAAATACGTGAGAGACTGAATGCTTCCGGGGGAGGGGGGGGGTGTGGAGTGTACTCCTTCACACGATCACTTGCCTGAGATCGCGAAAGTAGTCCGTCCAGCAGGCGTAAATCTTGACTAGGCCATCGCGGGGCGTCGGAATGCGCGACAATGACGATCGTCGAGGACGCTTTCTCGGTGCTTTCTTGCCGCACTGCGATCGCATCGGCGGCCAATCGGCCTTCGCGGGAATGCCAGCGAGGGATGGGATGGGAGCGCTCGCCCGCGCAGACCAGACGCTCCAGCCAGGTCGCTCCGACTGAGATTGACGCGGCCTGTATGTAAACGTGTTTTTTATTTATTTTTAAAAATAAACTGATTATTACATTTCGTAAAAATGTTAGATGTGTAATGACTCGTGTCTGCATAAATGTGTCTGTTTATCTTTAAACGAGTGGCT